CTCGCTTCATAACTACGTTCAAGAATCGTTTCGCAGATTTGGAGAGCAGATTCGAGATCAGCGTCCAAAAACACATCTAGTGGTGTATGTCTCGTTACAAATGGCCACTTCGACCTGTAGTGCGAACTAAGTGTGTCGGCGGTATAATTTTTCAAGCTGCGTCGACCTGACGTTAAGCTCTACAGATTCCGTGAGCTTACAACTCGTCGTTCTCGTTTATTGCTTTCCTAATAATATTTCCACATCAATAAAAGAATGCTATACATACCTAAACGGCCAGAAAGAAGTCTTTGCTAAAACTGTCTTTCGTGCCTTGCTTTTTTCTCGTCTTAGTTCCCTTCAGACATTGTAATTTTATGTCCTTTGGTTTTTTTTTCGAAAAAATCTCGTTCAGTTATTATAAAAGTTGCTGAGAGAAAAAAAAAGATGCGTGATGAATCGCTTTGTCGAACAATTTTGACGTGTGATGTTTTATTCTCCAACTTTTGAAAGGAACTGTTTCAGGCTCACAATATCACCTCCGCTGAGATCTACAGCGTTCGTGATGATCGTCCTGATTGATTCGAAATAGCCTTCGGGCTTGTTCGCTTTTTATGGATCGCTCCCAATAGGGCAGAATTCTTGCAAAAGAACCACTGCCAGTTTCATATAAATGACTTTTCCAGCACAGAAATGTGCCATGTTCATGAGTTTCTTTGGGCTACTCCTTGGATAGTATTGTACATTGTATATGTTCTAATTGATGAGTGAGCTTTTTTCCTCGTGTGTCTCCGCAGTTCACTTTTCGGTTAGTATTGTCTCCAGAATCACTCGATAGTCTGTACAGCATCATATAAAAGTTGTGGACATGTCGAGCATGTATAGGAATTCCTGCACACACTCCCCACTACAAACACCACATTTCAGGAAGATGCTCCGATTCATGCAGCCGTTAAGGGGGACGCTCAGCGAATAAGTGGCATCCCATTTACTTAGCACGTTGACGACATCGCGCGTTTTGCGTTTGTTGCACCGCGTGAGGACAAGAGCGATTCTGCGAACGCCGCCGCCGCACACCAAATCCATGGATTTTGAGCTGCCCTCTCTGCCGAATTAAAGAATATTTGGCCTTTCTGTGAGCCATGTGGTTTTTAAGTATGCTAATGTATGACCTATAGAATGAGTACAAAGACCTTAGGAATAAGTCGCACAAGCGCAAGAAAAAGGGATGGGTTGGGACGCGTTACCGCGTCACAATGTCCCACGAGGTGCGCAAAGTGGGACGCGTTACCGCGTCACGCTGTCGTCAACGTGTTAATTTATGTGATCAAGGGTTTTCCCTTACTTACCGCTACGATCTATGAAGTCGTGATTACTCTAGCAAGCACTAGAACACGGTCACAAATCCATGTCATGCGAAAAAGGCAGACATTCATTTTCGGTATGAATTGCCATTGACAGTTTTAATTGAGATAGGACCATATCATATTGGCTCGCACATCAAATGAGCGTGTTGATTCGCCATCAGACTCCAATGTTCTTTTTTATAATATTTGTCTACTACTTACAAAAGTGTCCTGCTTAATAGCGACGTTTAGCTAATTAGGTTGTTGCAATACAAATGTTGTTGAGTGCAAATAAAATTTGCTGAAAGCACCGGTTCGGCACCTGAGAATCATTCAGGGATGTGTGTAGGGTTACTACATCAGGCTTCCCCCACTTCTCGCACAGATATGATTCGACATTCTTGTCAAAAAAAATGGATCAACTGTGCGCTAGCAGACTTCCAGGGCCGGGTTCTTGCCGTCTCAGGATCGTTCCTCCACAAAAATGTGCTGCGTGACTCGAATAAGCAGCATTTAGATGGAGTGTGACAGGAGCTGTCAAGAGTCAACGTCTTCAGTCTATTTCGCACTCTTTGCAGGTTGATGTTCCCGTGATAAGCACCTTGCCCGTCGTGCAGCCACGATACGAAATCGTTAAGTGTTTTCTTGTCTAGTCAGTGCACAGTTGGTTGCTTTTTGTGCGCGAGTGCCTACCGTAATGGTGTGAGCTGAATTCATCATCTCAGGATATCGTGCAACATTCACTCACTTGTCATGTTAATTCATCGTTTAAAAAGAAAATATGCACGGCGTCAGACTGTCGCAAATAAACCTTGCCTAGTGCCACCTACAAGTTTTCCCTCTGCTGGTCACTTACTGTCGACAAGCTATCCGGAGGGCTGCCCCTCCACTCACCATTCCTTCAAGCCATTGTGAAAACCAATCATTTTCGAACAACATCACGATACCGTATTGATGGCTTAAAGCCGAACACTTGTTTCCTTTCATATAATCCATACCTGTTCCATCTGAATTTTTGAATCAAGATTTTACTCGTAATAAGCAGAAACATTTCAATCCAACTAACACGTACCTCCTCTGCAATCAAATATTTATATCCATAACTTTCATATCGATAATAAGAAAAACTGAAGACACAAAGCACGACAAAAAATGATTGAAAAATATTCACTGGTCGATGAGTCATTCACGCTTCGTTGGCTCGATGGCGTGCATGGTACTTGAGGAATCGAGGTTGGGGTCAGACGCCTCCCCTGAAATTCTTTGTAGATTAAAGTGAATTTCATTCAGATAGCGTCGAAATAGCATTGAGCCGTTCTCATGCACGACTTTCAAAGGAGGTAGCAAGATAGACTGTGTGTTGAAAAAGGGCATATCTGCCTGCTATCAAAGAATGTTGTGCCCGCATGCGAGTGAAACGTGTCGCTTTGGCGAACGAAGACCGACGGTCTACGAGCCTTTACCGGTCCAGGGAGACGGTCAAGAGTCCCCCTCGACCGCCGCGCTGAAACTAGGTCACCGCGCGCGACGTCGTATTACAGGTTGAAGCACGGCAATTGGCAAGTTTAGGATGAGCCTCTTTAGACGATCGATACAACGCTTTTTTGTTCCGTCTGTGTAGTCCCCATTTCTGCATTTGTTTTAGCTTAGTCCTGGCAAATTGCCACGTTCCAACTTGTAAAGACCGGTAGCCGCCGCGTGCGGTGACCTACTTTCGCTTGCGCGGCGACCTCAGAGGGACTCTTGTCTCGCATCCACCGGCCCATACGAACGTCTCATCCTTCGACCCACCCATCCACTAGTACACCATCCGCTAGGAGGCAGAGCAGAGCACGACAGCACGGCTGCGGCTTACCCAAAGTGGAAACCAAAAGTGGAAACAAGGATCTTCTACTGCCACTGTTCTCTTAGTTTTCTTTACTGCGTGGATACCTGCTGCCAAGCAGGGTCAAGCGAGGCGTCGAGGAAAATTCGGAAATACGACCCCCCCCCTCCCCTCTGCCGAAGGCCGAAGTCCATGAAACAACCCTCTTTAAAAGCCGAACTATGAAAAAGTTGTTTAATTCTCCACCAAAACTGCTCATAAAAAAGCCCTGCTACCCCATCGTCCACAAAAAAACTCGTTTAAAAAGTATAAAAGTGAAAAAGTCAAAGAATGATCATTAATGACGAGTCCTGTCAAACGAGCAAACGAGAAACGGAGCAAAAAACGTCAAACTAGTCACTAGAAATGGCGTACTATGACAACACCTCTTCTTTGTTTATTTCCTCCACAAGACTTACCAAATTCGGTGCTAACTTAGTTGGGGGGGGGGCACGCGGCGGCGCGGCAGTCTGCTCGCCTGGCATGTTCGGAAATCCGTGGGCCAGGGGGAGTGTAGGCAGTCTAGGGGGGGGTGGGGGCAGTCACTTGACATGCGTGAAAAGCTGGAATGTTCGAGTTTACACTGTCTCGCTCGAGAGAGCCCAGGTGAGCAGACTGCCGCGCCGCCGCGTGCCCCCCCCCAACTAAGTTAGCACCCCAAATTCTAGTACTACACAGATTATGGTTCTCAATTTACACGTCCCCCTTTCGCTCAAAGGAAGCCTTGTAAAAGCCTTCGCCAGCTGTGTGTTGACTGGACTTTGGCGTTGACCGTGGAGCAGCTTATTTACTATTGAAATTTGAACAAATATTCAAATGATTATAACTTTCTTCAAAGTTAACGAATTTTCAATCTGAAAGCTGATTTGGGAGTTTTGTGAAGAGCTTTTTCTAATCAGTACTGAAATTACAGGAAGTTATAAGAAATAACAAATTTAGATCAAATAACGAGGAAAATTCGAGACGAGCACGAGTTTTTACACTTTCCGGAGCAATAACTTGCTTCATTTCCGTCAAATTCAAAAAGTTGATACGTCATACAAAACTAGAAGATTTTCTCTATCAAACGGTCGCTAAAGCAGCTTCATACGTCCAGTACTCAAAAAATGGCCACGTTGAGGATTTTTGCAAAATTAACGAGGAAAATTCGTGATGAGTGCGAGTTTTTACGCTTTCCAAAGCCATAACTCCGTTCAAACTCATGCAATCTGGAAAGTTAATACGTCATCATAAACTAGAAGATTTGCTCTTTCTATGGCAACTAAAACTGCTAAATACGTTCACTATTTAAAAAATGGCCACGTTGAGGATTTTTGCCCGAGTACCGCCGAAAGGTACTTTTTCGCTACATTAGCACTATCCCAACGACTATAGCTCCTTGCAGGAGCGATTACATACTGAAGTAGGAGCAGATTCAAATCCTCGTGCTTTTCTCTCTGCAAAAAGTGTAAAATTGTTTAGCGGGTCTCAACTTTAAAGGTTACATGCTTGTGAATTTGACGCTGAAGGCTGCGTTTCTTGTTGAATAGTGTACTCCTCTCTGTAATTTAACATGAACTCTTTCAGAACCCTCTTGATTCTTCCTGAATTAAGATTCGTTATCAAGATAGCCGTAGCTGAAGCGCGCGCAACCAACTGGGCCCACTCTGGGATGCGCCGTGTGCTTCACATCTCGTTGGATTTGAGGACCTACTTGAAAGATAAAATATCCCTAGAAAACGTGCGAATTTCGGATCCTTTGACTTGTGTGGTGATGAAACACTAAAGTCACTAAGAATTGCTAAGCGGACACCTCTAAATCACGAAGATTTTGTGTGGACGGAATCAATTGTTATTGGAAATACTCTGGCCTGGTATCGATTCGATCCTTAATGTTTGTCCTCCGACGATGATCCTACTGTATCAATCGGGCCCGATCTCTCCCCAGCGGGCCAATACGACCCCCCCCCTCTGTGACATGTCGAGGATTCCTCAACGCACGCTTGACCCTGGTGCTGCCAGCTAACTTTCATTCGTAACGGGAGGCTAATTCGTCATATCACCTGCCCTCGGAAACTCACCTCAGCTGGGAACCTGCGCGTACATCAACATACAAATGTAGAAAAGCCTCAATTTCTCGCTAAGAACTTTTCATATTGAACAGAGCAATGGAATTTACCAGAAGAGCTGCGTACGGTCGCGCTTTGACATTGTGTTTACATCAGCGCTTGTTTTCGCTGTTCTGGAGGTCGACCTTTTCACTAATAATAGGGGGCAATTAGATTTTTTCAAGTTCGTACGATCACACAGGAGAACTTGGGGTAGTTGTGTATGATGAGACTCAGCTTCAATAACAAGTAAGCTGCTTATTACTTCACTGTTACTATTAATCACTATTACCATTACTCGTTACTACCATTATCACTAGTGTTTGTCCTCGTCAACAGAGCAAAAAGAAAACTTCAGTCCCACCGGAGATTGAAGCTGTTGTCGTTTCAGAAGTAGGTGATGTTGCGAGTATCGTTGTCAAAGTTTGCGTAAGTACAGGAGCTGACGTCGAGCCTGCCATGGCATGAGATGCAACTCCACCTGATTTCTAAACGAACTATATCATAGCACTGTAATGATAACCGTCGTAGTTGTATTGAATTTGGTACTGTTACAGAATCAGTGAGTGTTGCGCTTGAGACGAAGACTGCGTCAAGAATGTGGGTTCAGCTCAGTTCAAGCAAGGCTCAGTTGCCCAGCAGTGGCCGAATGGCTCACTACTTAAAGCAGCAGCCCCAGGAGGGATTATGCCTTCGTACCTAATGGCGTGAAACGATGCGCTAGCCTAGTCAAGAGCATAAGAAGTGTGATTGAACAAAAACTCACCTTGGAAAGCCGCTGAAAAGGAGCTGAACGGCTTCGAAGTGGGCGTGGTTGGAAGTCGGCCGAGGGGATTGCAGCCGACTGAGCAACCACGCCCACTTCGAAGCCGTTCAGCTCCCTTTCTAGCGGCTTTCCAAGGTGAGTTTTTTGTTCAGTCACACTTCTTATGTTCTTGACTAGGGCTAGCGCATCGTTCCACACCATTAGTGTCGAAGGTAAAAACCCTGCTGGGACTGTTGCTTTAACGTCTCGTGACCACTGCCCCAAAGTGCAAAAGTGTGGTATCTTACCGAAGCATCCGTCGAATGATGCTCGCCTTCATAAGGTGCGGTACTGGATTCCCCAGCAAAAATGCCGTCAGCAACTGTCGGATTCCTGAAATGCTCAATAATTCATGTTTAAACTCGTAAATGACCATCCACTTGGGCCCCGCGAGCGGCTTGTTGAATGCCCATACTTCACTTCCCAACGAGTTATCCCGAAGATATTTAGCTGTGAGCAAGCACTCCGATAAGATGGAATCGAACTCAACTTCCAATTCTATGATATATTCGCCACAACTTGTCAGCACTCCCACTTGGCCGCCATTGGCAGCTTAACTTATACCAGTTGGCGCCGCACGCATTGCGCGCGCAACACAGATCTGCGGCGAATTTTGATGGTGCGACGAAAATTTTCAAATTTGGCTTGATACACCACGAATAACCTCTTTTTCTTCGTCAACCATTATCCTCTTTTTCCGGTCTCCGGACTGCTTCCGGACAATAAATCTCGTGGCAAACTCCGCCTACTTCGGTGCGTGCCCGCCCACCAATAGCATTTGGCCCCTTCCTTTCGCCGACCTCTACCCCTTTTTTCACCGGTCTCTGGGACCTCTTGGAAGCAGCTGATCTCTTTTCCCTCGCCAACCTCTAACCCCGTTTTCCCTATCTCTAGGACTTCTTGGAGCCGAGTTATGAATTTTCGTCGCAAACTCCGCCCACTTTGGTCAAGCCCCGCCCACCGGTGACAGCTGGCTCCACTCCTCCACCCACCTCCATCCACCTTTTTCCCTGCCTCCGGGACTTCTTGGAGCCGAATTACAATTTCGGCGCAAACTCCGCCCATATTAGCGCACGCTCCACCCAACCGTAGCAGTTAACTTCTCTTTCTTTGCTGACCTTCATCCACTTTTTTCCCGTTCTCCAGGACTTCTTGGAACCAAGTTATGAATTTTCCTGGGTAACTCCGCCCACTTTGGCCATGCTCCGCCCACTAATGTATTTAAGTTCCACTCCTCCACCCACCTCTACCCACCTTTTTCCGTGCCTCCGGGACTTCTTGGAGCCAAGCTATGAATTTCCGTCGCAAACTCCGCCCACTTTAGTCAAGCCCCGCCCACCGATGAAAGCTGGGCTCCACTCCTCCACCCACCTCCATCCACCTTTTTCCCGGCCTCCGGACTTGCTGTTGGAGAGCGAGTTTTCAATCACGTCGCAGCACTATTCTCCGTAACTCCGCCCACTTTGGTCAAGCCCCGCCCACCGATTGACAGCTGGCCTCCACTCCTCCATACACCTCTATCCACCTTTTTCCGGCTCTTTAAGACTTCCCCGACCCGAATTATGAGGGCTTGTAGAAAATGCTGTACACTTCAGAGCGCGCCCCGCATACATGTATGCAGGAAACACCTTAGACATTGCTCCCTTACACCAAATTGTTTTCTGCTCTGTAGGCTTTCTCCCAACCGAGTTATGAAATTTTTCATAAAGCACTGCTTTTTTAGAGAACGCCCCGCCCACCGGGGGTGGGTCTCCCTAATTCGATGTGACTTACCAATGCACACCTTAACCCACTTTTTGGCCCAGTTTCGAGGTCGTTTTGTCACTGAAATCGAAATCTTGGTCTTCGGTACAATTCATTTCGACGCACGCCACGCCCTCTGTGGGCGGGGCTCCGCTTAGCTGATGTGTGTTTTGTATTACGTGAGACCCTGCCCACCCATCCCACACTTGACCCGGTCCCTCCAGGTGGATCCCGAGGAGCTAGGGAATTTCGTGACAGACATACAGAACGACACACGACACACGACACACGACACACGACACACGACACACGACAGACGAAGCGCTTTATAGTAAGTAGGATGTCGTGCGTACGACTAGGTCAAACTATCCGTTGGGACTTTAGAAAAATTAGCGACCTGCCCTCTTCATGAAGATTTCATGAGCGACTACTTTTCACCTACTTCCTTCTGCCTTCAAAACAGCCATCAAGCAGCGGAGAGAGCTAATATAACTATCGCATGAACCGGTATAATACGCCACGGTGGAACGGCAGAAAGTCTCCGCCACCCCGGCCCCCCCCCCCTCCTCGCCCCTCCCCCCCCCCCCCCTCTCTCACCTCATTATAGTTAATTCGTGCTACCCGAACCAGTAGACGCCCGCCATCAACAAACTACGACTCTCCGTTGGTACTTGTCTCAACGTAAGTTTGACCCTGGTGCGTACTGATATAAGCAGTAATGTCTCTGATGGCAATACATATACCACTGAAGGCGGCGACGGCTTCCTGAGCCCCACTGATTTGATCAACCTTAATGGCAGTGTTGTGCTGTTCTATGCTTGCTTTAGAATGGTTTGCGTGAGAATGGCTTATGCCCAAAGCGTTGTCAATAAACTTTGAAAAAAAAGAGCTTCTCATTTCTACCTGACGCTGCACGATGACAAATATATCATTGAATGTTAAGTTAAGGTGAAACAAGTGATCAGGCTTGGAGATCAGTAGCACAACTGTTGCGGAGCGAGAGGTGCGGATTCGATACTATACCTGCCCGTAACGAAGATTTCCTACCTATAACTCCTCATCTCTGTGATGACTTTCTCATCAACAACTGCTGCGAGAAACGGCAATTAACAAACAAAACTGATCGAAAAAAAGTGGAACTCGGAGTCTTGGTCAATTTTCTTACGTTTCACAGACGTTAAATGCTCAAGCGCTTTCTGTTCAGTGTTTTCAGAATTTTCAGCGGTTTGGAATGCTTTTCCATACACAGAGTCATCCTGGTTCCACCCCCAATCATGGGCTTTCAGTTACGTACAGTCAAAAAGGGAAATATCACCAACAATTAATATGTAGAGGGCTCCAGAGCAGGGTCAACCGTCCGTTCGAACTGTTCGAAGGGGGGGGGGTCGCATTTGTGTTCTGGAAGGGGAGAGGGGTCGCATTGCGCAGTTCTTTGGTCATCAGGGGCGCAGGCATTGGTGTGTGTGCGAAAAAAAGTAGCCGTTTCATAGAAGGTCGCGGTGGGGGAAGGCTGGTTGTATTTAGGGGGTCGCAACTGGACCCCCTCGAGAGGGGGGGGGGTCGCAAAAATCCCGAAAATGTTCGAGCGTGACGGTTGACCCTGCCCCAGAGATAGCTTGCGGCGGCGCGGAACGCGCGTGCGCTGGTGATGTCATTATGACGTCACGGCGGCAGCGAGGGAGCCAGCGAAGAGCGGCACATACCTTACCCGTAAACTTAGCTTATTTTGCAAATTACATTAGTGGAGTACTTATAAGATTCTCGACTTCCCAAATCTCCGTGAAATAGTAGTGGATAAGAATAGATCGAAGAATGATTAGTAGTTCTCGAGATCAACTGAAACTGTGCAATCACAGGGCTTACAAATAAAGACATTGATTTCTTACATGATTCAGAGAAGATTATCAACTCTTTAGGGCGAATGTGGCACTAAATGTAATGCGATCATTTCGATTGTGGGACTAGGGTGTACATGTTCGTGAAGTGGCAGCAGCTCTATCTCCATTTTAGGGAAAGTCGCCACTGCTCGTTCCCTCGCTGCGCTCGCGCCAGCTATGACCAGGGTCAACCGTCCGTTGGACAAAGTCCAACGCATGGCTCTCTAGCGTGTGAGAGTAATGCCGAGAGTGAACGTACGCACGGAGACACAGACGGCTCGCGCAAGGCGAGTGCGAATGCCGGCGCGGAGAGCGGTCAACGTCGGTCCAACGTCGGTCCAACGTCGGTCCAATGTCGGTCCAACGTAACGGTTGACCCTCTGGCTATGACGCCACTGCATTATCACCGGCACGCACTCGTGACCGCACCACCGAGAGCTTTTATCTGGTCCCCTCGCCCCTCTCGCATGGGTATTTGAGAGGCACTTCATGCATCGAAGGGATCAAAGTAAATTGTACAGGATATCCATTTCTTCATCGACGCTCTGAGTCACTTTGACGTTGGTTGACTGGAGATTAACCTCGTTCATACCTCCAAATATAGAACTCTACGTCGGCACGTGTTCAGACGAAATCTCCTTACAGGATCATAGAGTGTCAGAAGACACATGAAGCAGTAGAAATCATAAAAGAGAGCGCACTCAATCCGTTACGAGCTCCCCATCCCTTTTTGGAGCATCCAACTGCAAGGGTGACGACGCGCCGCGTGGACAACACGTTCGGAGCGAGTAATCGGACGTGATAAAGTCTTGCGGCTATTGTGCCTAACACCACCGAACAAAGCTATAGGAAATAAGAAGTCCCGTTCTGAAAACTAAACCCACAAGGCGAGTATAATAACTATGTTGATTTCGAAGACAACTCCGGCGTCACGATTTGCTATGGTTTCCTTCCGGTTTTGGGTTTAAAAACAGCTGTCTTTCAGCCTCGATTTGAGTTTGCACCTCACCAAAGGATTGCCTTCGCATGGGTCCTGTGCAGAAATCATCTCAGGGACAAAAAATTGGTGCCAGCCCTTGGAAGCTAGCACTGAGATAATACTAGTTCTAGCCTTCCTCAAAAAGTGGCCACTTCTTATTGTTATTTTCGCAATGGAAAATCGGTCTGTACTGAGCCGACGAAAAGCTCGGCGTGGAGCCATTCCTCTGGAATGCGCCGCGCATCTGATTTCCTATGCCTGTAGAGTGTTCGCGATTATGCAACTCATGGCCACCGCAGCCACTTTTTAAGCGACTTTCCCCTGCCATTTACGGCTTGTGAGTAGCCAAATATGGAACAATGAAAGGCTCTTATTTACTTAGGAGAGCATGTTAATGCGATAGTTCCTGTGCTTTAGAGCAATCTTAGTTCTAGGGCAAATAAACTCCAGTGGGGCGATCCAATCCCTCATGTGAAAAGCAGACTGGATGAGTTAATGAAAACTGAAACCTTTGTCGTGGCTTCAAGTCCTTGAGTTACCTGCTCTCGAATATCCCACTTAGCTACGTGACCCAGACGGCAATGGTCTCACACATAATTTTGAGAACCGAGCCCTAATTAAAGGCTTTCCCATGGTACAGTAATACACCCTCGGCATATCTGTTTAAAAGGTGGCCTTTTCAGAACAATATAGTTTGAAGTCAATTACCTGATGTAAAATATCGTCACCAATGTTGCAGCGATAAGGAGTACGAGGACGCCAGCAACAGGAATCACCACTTTCGCATTGAGCAAATTCTTGAGCTGTGGCATTATGGAACGATTTTCTGGAAAAAAGAACATTTTTGCTGAAGGTATTAAAAAATCTGGTGAAATTGATGATAATGCTGAGAGTGCCACATGAAGCTATGCCCTGTTAGGAGATAAGATAGGCTATCAACAAATCACTTCCCTCTAAATGGAACAAAATATATTCACAAAATTCGAAAAACACTTCGACATACACACCCTTTAGTATCCCCGCCCAGACTAAACGAGAAGGTCCGAATATTAGTGGTTTAATTTTTTTTTGAATAGTGATAGATTTGGGCCCGCAGTAGCGATTCACACTTATCTCCTAACAGGTTATTTCTTTCTCGCACGCGACAGACAGCCCTGGGTTTCTATGAAACCGGTACAGTTGGAGTGAAAACCTAA